AATTGTAATAATAATGGTATTATTTTGCTCATATGTTTGACAATTAAAAGGATTATCCAGTTTAGGAGTTTCACCCATAGTTTAGGCAATTTTTGAGTTTCGCCACTAGTTTAGGAGCCTAAACTCCTAATGTCTGTGGGTGAAACTATTTTGGATTTGTTGAAATAGTTTCGCCCACCATCATTAGGCAAGAGAATATGTGTGTAGTACTCTCTCACCAAATTTTCATCTTGCAATTTCCACTCCATAATAGGAATTTTCTTCTTTAAACATTGACCGCAAGTAGTAAAATAATCTTTAGTTTTCCTCTCACGACCACATGTAACAAAAGATTCCCAAATATCAGCACTCTTGCCACATTTCACAGTTTCCTCATCACAATGGTAACAAAAAGCTTCAAACCAAAACTCTTGTTGTTTACTTTTATTTTTGAAATTTTTAAAAGTGTTTAGATAAGCAATTCCCCAAATATATGGTTCCCAGTACTTATTAATATTTTCATCTTTGAGAAGAAATAAGTATTCCCCACATAGTGGTTCCCAGTACTTATAGAATTTTTATTGAAAAATAAAAGAACTCAAGCATGATTGTTACAGATCCTACTAGAAAAATCGTTGTGTTTTTGAAGTAAAAACGCAAGCACAATCCTTATAGAAACTACTAAGATTATGTTTGATAAAATTATTTTGAAGATTTGTCTTTGTTTGTTTAAGATTGTAGGTCTTCACTTATATAAAATTCTTTAATTTTTCAATGCCAACTTTGTTGGAATTAATAATGTTGTTAAATAATATGTTCATATCCTCTAAGGATGAAAAACACTTACTACACATTTTGAAGCTTTTAAAAAATCAAAATATGGAAATTAAAATTACACAAACTAAACAACTTTGAATGTATGATATAATTTGCGACATTGTTTGCCATGGGTCACAAGTATCATGATTAAATGCTGAGATAGGGTCAAAAGAAGCCAATTATGTCACCAATAGTTTTGTTTGTTATTATTAATTTTGTTCTATATCCAACATCGCCTAATAAATTTACTATCAAAATATTTGGTTACCATGATATACTTTATTTAACTCGTGGTTAACAAACAATCTAAAAATAGAACCGCTCATCATCATCTAAT